TGGGGTCCCTGTCTCTCATTTTTTTTCAGGTGTTGAATGGGGACAACAATACTTCTCTGTCCATTAAAATTAAATGCTGTTGGTGTAGGGACTGTCTTTTCTGTGCATTTGTTCAGCACCTTCAACCGTGAAGTCCCTGGACAATTATCTTTATAGAGATATTTGTAACTGATTCTGCAAAATAAATACAAGCACTTCTGAGAGATGCACAGAATTATAAAACAATTCTGTTGTTTTGTTCATTCTGCAGAATATGCCCTCAGGTAAACTGGTTTGCCAGCATTAGAGCAGACTTCTACACAGGGAGAAGAAAATAAAAGAAGGCTTTAACATTAAAAACAGAAGAAAAAAAATGTTGTACGTTTTTCTGGATGAGATGAGAGTAACATGTTGATTTGTAGTTAAATTTCTCCACTCACTGAGTCTTCCATTTTGTGACTCTATTTTTTCAGCCTCCAAGGAAGTTTGGACTGATTTACAATTTAAAACAGTTCAAGGCAAGACTTTGTGCCTGTCAACACATCAAGTCCAGTTCTTGTTCACCCAGCTCTTAATGTTAAATGACCTTTCTTTTCATGTTAACTTCTCCCTCCTAGTTGAATCCCGTGGGTTGGCCTTCCAGTGTGGAAGGCTGCCTTCTAATGTGTAGGAAACATTCAGAATTCTACAATGTGCTAATAATTTAAAGTAATAAGCATTCAGGCATTAACTTTATGCTTGGAGATGCTAAATCTGAGTGATGTCGCTCATTTGTTTGACAAGTTCTACGTGTTAAAATGATGAGGTAAAGACAACATAAACTTAGAATACCACACTACAGCTGGAAAATAAATAGAAGCTGTAAAAATGCAGATTAATGTTCAGGAATTTATTTTTTCTTGCTCTGTAAAGAAATAGGACCTTCACTCACCTCTTTAGCAGGAAGGAAGGTGAGTTGAACAACTCCACAAGGAGGTATAGTATTCATCTGCTCAAAATAATCATTGTGACTTTTGCAATGGTCTTAAAGAAGTTATTTTCATTAGATTTCTGAAAAAGTCCATAAATTAATCAATTTTAAAGTACCATTATTTTAATTACTGCAGCATAATTACTTAATACCACCCTGGGTCAGTTTGGTAGAGAACATTACTTCAGAAGCCCTTAAGCAGTTGCAAAAATATTTTAAATTAATCCTCCTTAAATCAATCAGTGTTGTTAAGGCTCTTGTATGCTTTAAGTGAATTAAGTTTCTTTTTTGTTTGTTTAAACATTTACCTTACTGTATAAATTCACCTTTCTAGATAAATATTTAATCTTTGACTTAAAGTTCCCCCCTGTCTCACACTTGTGGTCAAACCATTCTACTATTTTTTCTTCAATACTAGTTGTGCCACACAAGGATGTCAAATGGTTTAATCAGTTCCAATACAAGTTGCCCACAGGCAGGGATTTCTTCCCATCCCTCTTGAGTTAGTGGTCTGTTGATACCTGAGGCTAAAGGGGTTATATCTTATGCTGAAAGTTGCAGGTGACATCCTAAGCCACATAAAGCCAACAGCAAAATCCTCATTGAATTTTATTATCCTGGGATTAAGTGAGTGCATTGAAAATACCAAAAACTTTCTCTTGGTCCCTATAGACATTCCAGTTATCTTTGTTAAGTAGTTCATCTTTTGAGCATCTGTTATAACATTTATCAGGAAGAGAATGAAATTCTTGTCTTCTGTTACATCGAATAGCAAGGAAGTTCTATGCTTTCATTCTGATTTCTTTAGGGAAAATATTTGTGTTCATTTTTAAACAGCTTTCTTCTATGTTTCATTGATTTCCCTGCTGTTTTGGAGAAATGAAAGTGTAAAAACATCCTTTTCCTTTTTTTTTTCCTGTTTCCTCTCCATTTTTTTAGAGCTTTTAGGCCTTCCATGTTTGTTCTATAGAGTTGGCAATTTCAGTTTCTTCAATCTATGCGTGGATGTTTCCATTCTTATTTCTTTCAGAGTATCTTCTCTTTCCCCTGTGTTGAATGTGTCATGATGAAAACAGACAATGGGATTCCATAGCCTTATCTTCCTGATGTAACACGTTTATTTTCCACATCATTAGTTGTGCTCAGTGTTGGACCTCATGTGCCATCCATGATAAAAGGCATATATATTGCAAGAATGTTGGGGATAAAGTCTTGGTGAAATACACACACCAAAAGAGAAGGCACCAAAAAATTTGGATCGGATCTTTATCTCCTGTACAGAGATGCATGAAGCTGAGCTTGACCCCCTCTGTTGTTTTACATTAGTATAGAACTGCTAAAGCAAACCTAAAATAATGTGAGAGTGATTTTTACATTATTTTTCTTTTAGTATAAATTCTTATTATCTAATTAACTGAAAGGATTGTGGTAATTTGATAGAACACGTTGCTTTGATGGCATAAAAGCAAAACAGTAAAAAACCCCATCATATAGGTATTTCTTAATATCATCTAATATATTACTAGCCCAGAATCTGAAGTAATCCAAAGACATTTATTTTTGATGAATAACAGAAGTTCAAAAGCTTTTTCTTAATTTATAAGATATATGACACAGAAACCTTCCTTGTGCTGCTTCAGTTATCTTTTATCTTGATTATGGTTGACATTTTTAGGGTACAAGGCACTGTGGTTAGGAGGATAATTTTAAATTCTCTATGAGGTGCTGCAGTTTCATTCTGAATTATATGAGAGAGGGTTTCATGTCAGAGCACTATATTATTTTTCCATTGCAGCTACTGGATACCTCATGCAGCCTGATTAGTGCAATGAAGCTTTGAAAGACAAACCAGTTGAAGACAGAAAACACTGCAATGTTTTGCAGAGAAAGTCAGGAACAGGTTGTCAAGTCACCTTCTTTATTTTTCCTGTAAATTCATTTAAAATTTAATACAGTACAAAATATTGCAAAACCTTCATTTGCTGGGAGGATTTGGGCAAGGGTTGTGTTGCTTAAATAACTTCACTTGATTGTGTGCCTGGTTGCAGAAGAGCCCCCACCCAAGCACCCCCTGCACATTTGGCTCTTGGACACAGGGATATGCATTTATTTGGGCCCAAAGTATCTTACTGTGCTTAGTCTTCCTGATTTTTATTTACATATAAGCTCCAACAACCATCCCATAACAAATTACCTAACACATAGAATTCTTGGCATTCCTTATCTGCTTACTAATAGCCCCTCTGCTTACTAAAAATACTAAAAATCAAGCTGCAAAGAAGAATGTAGTATCTTTCATACCATATTTTTTTGCTTTCAAAAATATTAATTGGATGCAGCTTTTCTTAGTTTAAAAGGAATGAAAGCAAGCTACTGTTTCAGACAGACTTTGTACCTTTAGGTAAACTTGCTGTAACTGCTGCCAAAATTAAATTAGGATCTATACTTTCTTCTGGAATCTTTCCAGCTCATCTTTAGCTGCAACACATGCCATAATAGGATGTGAAACAGAAGCTGAAAGCAAATATTTTTTTCCCAGTTCTTTTCAGGAGTGTAACATGAGAAATTGCATCCTAGTACTGTTGTAAAGATACCTGATGTTTATTCCACTATCTTTGAGTGTATAAAAACCCATCTGTAAATGTCTACTATATTACATTAAGAGTTTGTCTTTCAGTCTAAATGGCTTTTTGATACCCTGTTCAGTACATCTTTGTAGTCTGAATGGAGTTTTAAAATATTTTTAACACAAGAGCACTACTTTGAGCAAGATGCAGTTCACTTTGGGGTGAGGAGGGTCAGGAGTGTATCTGTGTCATTGATGACAGGACAAAGCATTTAACCAGATGATGAAGACTGGGGGCATAGTACAATATTTTTTTTAATGACTGGCTAAAGTTTTGCTTGCTGATCAGATCTTAAACATCTAAATAACAGCCTGATTCCGAAAAACATTCTCATAGCAGTATATCTAATGACTTGCATTACATTAGCTTTATTTAAAAAAAACAACCCAAAACCAAACAGAAGGCTTATTGGGAGTCTTACATTAGGCTCCTTTCCTGAAAATGTTGAATTGAAATGTTTATGATTGGTAAGAATTTTATATTCATAAATTCTTCACCAAGACAGCACCAGCTGTGTGAGCAGAGGTTTGCAGAGACAGGCTCAGGTCCTCAATGGCAATCCTTGGTATGGGCCTGCAATTGCCCTCCCAAGGAGCTGCAAGGTCCCATCACATTTTGATCATGTAATCGTTCAGCAACCTGATTCCACTAGATTTTTGCAGCAGGATGGGAGAGGTTTCCAAAGGTGGGCAGGGGCTTATGGCAGCTGCATCCATGCTGGCAGGGAGGTGAGAGCCCATGGTGCCTTTGTCCCACCCTCCTTGGTTCTTCTAGGAAGGTGAGCTGGGGACAGGGCAGGGCAGGAGGTCTAGCACACCCTTTGGGTCCTTGGAGCATGTGCAGCTGCTCCCCAGCCAGAACATCAATGTTCTTGTGCTTTGCTGGCCAATGTCTTTCAGTCACATAGACTGGCCATTATTCAATAGCACATGTTGTCTTGTTGGATCTGCATTAAAAACTGGATTCAAATTTATTTAATAAGGTGCCAGCTGTTATTTAAGGAAGCAGGAGCAGATGGAAGAAGGCACAAAGCCATTTCCAGTAGCCAGTTCAATCAGCACGTAACATCAACATCAGCTCTGCAAACAGCTACTGTATCCCAGACCACTTTATCAAAACCCTGAGCTCTGGCATTCTTCATTTCATGCCCTCTAACTGCACTGTTCAATTTCTGAAATGAAGACAGGAGTGAGAAAAATAAAGCTTGTCTCAAAGAACCAGGGCTTCAGGTTGTGTTAAATTAGCATCTTTCTATTAGTCGATGGTATTGGAAGAAAGCTGCGGAAATCCTTTTCTGACAAAAGGCTATAAAAAAATGTGACATGTGATTTTGTACTGCCAATTATTGTAAAAGCAAAATGCAACATTCTATACTGGAGCCACTGCTTAATGCTTTTCTCCTTTTCTTTTTCCCTTCAAATCAGATATTTATCTTTGAGAATAACATCTATTACTGTGCCCACGTGGGGAAACAAGCCATCCGAGTGGTCTCCACAGGAAAGGAAGGTGTTATTTTCAATGGGCTCAGCGACTGGCTATATGAAGGTAGGACGTGACATTTAGGACAACAGTTAGTTATGAGTTTAAGTTACACTCTAGATTTACAGGACTGGCTGGAATTAGACATTCAGAATTGCATTTCTTGGGACTGGTGGACCACAGATGAAAATCTGCTATTCTAACAGTTGTCTGAAATGCTGGACTGGAAATAATGTGAAATGATGTAAGAATTCTGTTTTCAGGCTGATTTTCTTTCTCTTAGTCCAAAGGTAATAAATCACCAAGTTTTAATGAACAGAACTGCTTCATTATTTAATGGCACCTGCAATCACTCATAGACGTGCCAGTTCTCAAATCACAAAAAGGGCAGAAATGTGGAAGGGAAAGGGGATTATTTTAAAGGAAGAAGAGATAAAATGATTCTTCTTGATTGGTTGTTTTGCACAGCATTAGGGGGGCCCTGGAAGATGCCCAGATCTTGCTACCTAAATATTTCCTTAAAATCAACAGGTCCTCACAGTAATTGGCTTCTTCCCCTTGAAAATTGGCCTGATGGGGTAAAGAGTTGTTGCTGGAGCACTGATTCACTTTGGTCCTTTCAGCTGGCAAATGGTCTTTTGAGTGTCCGTGAGCAGCTGCTTGCAAAGTGATCTCACCTGCTCAGTAGCTTAGGAAGTGATCCCAGCTATCCCTAGCTCTTTTGGGGGATGTTATAGGCTCCTAGGATAATACTTTATCAGAATTAATATATATATAGATAACACATACATGTATTTTTATATCACATGTACACAACATTCATTCCCCTCCTTGTTGCTAGCTAATGCTGCCAGTAGTTTATTTTAACAAGAATCCCAGTTTTGTGACCTGGCAGTGTCTTTTTCTTTTGACAGTTTCCCTTTAAAGTCATACTTCCTCTTGCAGGTCCCAGCACAGTCCCAGGCTTTTCTTAAGTCTACAGAAAGAATTGTCCAGATACATCTATTAACTGCACCCTGCTGCCTGCTCTCAGTTTTCTTGAGGCTTAATGGAACAAAATAGGTTGCAAAATGCCATTCACCATGAATTGGCATAAAAATATGAAGCACTCCTTAAATTACTCTATATCACAGCTAAGCTGGGACTGTTGGACTCAAAAATGAGGAAATTAAAATAGATTATTTAATTTTCTGCTGTCAGAGAAACTTGTCGCATAAATCGGTGTACAAGCTCATCAAAAACATGATTGGAAAAATCTTATAGCAGTATTTCCTTTGATATTGAAATGTGTGTTCACACTGTACCACAGAATATTTGCAAGTTACTCTCCTCCTTGTGGAGCCCTTTGTAACCAGAGGAGCAACTGAAAAGTTACAAAAATGCAATTTTCTTTACTGTTTCTTTTTTAATTAATTGGTTGCTGAAGCTGTGGGCAGGCCTGTTGACTCTGGAGGTCAAATGAGCATATTAGTACTTGTATTTAGCTGATAAACATAATTTAGTATGTAAGGTCTTCTCACAGAGTCTTGCATCCAGCACCATGCTGACAGGACTTTGTCAAGCCAGTGACCAGCAAGCCTGTGATGACACTGGTGTTTTGCTGACACATGTTTTTATTTAATTATGGGATTGCTCAGGCAATTTCTTGGCTAACATTGACTTTCAGGTTTGTCCTTTATAATGAACTTTCTTGTGAACTTAATGTGCTGGGATAAGAAATGAATCTATGATCAAATACAGTCTGGATGTACCAAGCCAGGTAACCTCTCTGAGCAGCATATGCAGAGCAAGACCACTGAACCCACTCTTCACAGGGAGTACCTTGTGCAGAAATCTGGATAGAATATCCCTTTGGAAATGTCATTTTGTGCTCAAGTACAGTTTATAGCAAAATTAAAAGTTTGCTTACTTCATAAGCAAGGCATGGAAGGACCCAAAGGAAAACCTGAGATATAAATGCTCCCAAGTGATGTGCAGAATCCGAAGCCCAACACAGAGCTGGGCTGTGTAAGCTGAGCTACTTCTCCCACACTGCACCACTTGTGCAGTTCTCATGGAGGTAAACCTGGGACTGAAGTCAGGACTGAGGATTTGTGGCACATACTTGAACAAGCTGTAGGACCACAAGATCGGATGGGTCTGCAGTGTTCAGATGTCAGATCTTTGAATGCATGGACAGATGGACAGAATCCTGGAAGAACTGGAGTATTGCATGGTAGTAAATGGGTAAGAACCACTGGAAGATGGATGACAGCCCCCATCAGAGTCCATGGGTATTCAGGCATCATCAGTGAGGCTGCTGACATGCTGTCCTTGCAGCAGCTGGGATGCTCTCTTGGCACACTGTACCAGCACCTTTGTTTCTCCAAATTCTCTCCTCTTCTTGGGTGCCTTTCCTTCAGCACCATAAACTGAAACAAACTTTAAAATCCAAACTCATCCGACTGGAAATGCTTGATATCTCAGCAAGGATGGAAATTTACCACCCCAGGGCTATATTTTCACCTCCCTTATTCTCACTGACGTTTGCAGACGTGTCTTCCCCACCTCCCAAACAGAGCTGGGTGGGATGCTCAACCCCACGTTTGTTTGCACTGCCACTGTCGCAGCAAGCTACTGGGATGAACACTGAGCATATGTAGAAATCTCATTCCATCTGTGCAGCCATCACCAGCAGATAATCTGGAAAGGAGTTGTGAGAAATGCTGAAACAGGATCACAGAGTTGATGCTCTCCTCTTCCCCCGCATGCTCTTTTTGTTGCTGAAGTTCACCACCTCCAGCAGCAGCAGCCAACCTCCCTGCAGCGCCCACCGAGGTACTGTCACAGCTCACCACCTGCTTCTCACTTTCCCTAAATGCAGCAAACAAACAAACAAACAAACAAACAAAACAATCTTGGTGTCTTCTGTTTGAAGAAGCCAATATTCAAGCTCTGTCATTGTAAGTGGCAGGAGCACATCAACAGAAATCCCCCACACCCTTTCTGAGAGGTGTCTGCAAAGTGCCCCGTGCAGGTGGCAGTCCCAGCAGTGACACCAGCTGGGGCATCTTGTGACGCTTGGTATGAATGGTAGACACAGAGAGAACACTTTTCTTCATAACATTGTTGCTTCTGTCACGACAGAATAGATGCACTGTACTATTAATCACAGGTTTTTACTAAGTCCGGAAGCAGAGCAGATCCAGAGCAGATTTGACAGGCTTTTTGCTGTGGAAAAATGCAGAAGTTCATTTCAATTCAAGTTAAGCTCTGCTTTTGTAAATCTGCCAATGGGGAAAAAATTTTTTCAAGGTATTTATGCTGATCTGTAGACTTTTGATAATATAGTGAAAAACATTTCAAATCAATCAGAACTTAATCTACTTAGTGCATTTAGCTGGAAGGTTATAGATTGATACATAGATTACTGTAACATGAAAGCATAGATTAAACATAGCTTTTATTACTAAAATAAGCATTGACAATCTTTTCATAGTCTGACTTAACATTTTCAGAGCTGTGCCTGATAGATGCTTGTACTAAAATGGAGTGATATCCTATATAAGAGAGTTTAAAGTTCTACAGCTGAAACCAGCTAACCATTTAAATGCATAGCACCAGGAAAGTGGTTTATATTTCAGTTTGCACTTTGATTGCTGTTGGTTTGAGAATCTGTTTTAGCAACAATAAGGTTTAAAGATAATTTTAAAACAAGTGGTGGTATAGTATAAATTACCTTCAAAGTGATAGGATAAGAGTACTTATATGTTTTTATGTATACAGTACTTTAATAAAAGTAATATATATTTTAGCAAGTAAAGCACAGGTTAAATTAATTTCATTTAAGCACTTTGTTATGACACTCTTCAACAGAAATTAATTCTGTCATGATGTAATTAAAGTATCTTCATTTGCTACCAGGCACTTGGCAAGACTGTTCAGATGTTGTGAGACAGGATGGCAGCAAGGGGCTCTGCCAGAGATTGTCTCTGTGGTCCTGCTAAGTGACAAAGAGAAGATTGTGGTGTCCCTGTGTTGCAGTTTGGAAGCTCACTTGGTTTGGGATTTTGTGGTGCTGAATTCTGGGTGATGGGGCAGGAGGACCTCCCTACAAGCTGCATGCTACTGCCAGACCAGGGACACCCCAGCAGGGTAATTCAGGGTCCTTTTACCTGGCTCTGCTGAGCAGGCCAGGGACCTTTCCTGGGCTGCGCTGCTATAAAGTCCTGACGTGACCTCCTTTGAGCAAGTCTCTGTTTGCAGATAGAGGTGCTTGACTTCTGGAGAGCTGCTTATCTTCTTTGCATGCTGCTAAGCACATGCTTGGCAATCATGGGGGAGCAGGATGCAACATGGTGTGTGTGCTCCTGTCGCTGGTGGAGGGATTGTCACCTCTGGATGGGCCTATCCCATCCACAAAGTGTGAATCTGAGGGTTTTCCTTGTGTTTTGCTTCACATGTCCTCAGATGTAAGAGTAGTGCGTTAGAATCTATTTTCGGACTTAGTCTGCAAGATATTTTGGGGGGGTTTTAGAGACTTAGTTACAAAAGGAGTAATTACACGAGTTACTCCCTCATTTCATGTCACTATCAGTGATCAGAAAGGTTTGTCCTGTGAGTCTCTAAAAGATCATCTCAAAGTGAGCATTGCATCCCAGACTTAGTCCTAATACAGCAATTGTGACATCTCAGCTGGACATCTCCTCACCCTCATGCCAACAAGAACCACATCTGGCAGCCAGGCAGGAACCCCAGCTCACATGCCATGCATCTGTAATGCAACATGTGATATATGTGTCTGCCATTTAAAATAAATGCTCTGTTGAGCTTAACATCCAGGCGTGCTGCTATGCTTTCTTTTTGGCTAGGGAGCCAGAAGAGGAGTGAAAAGAGACTCTTTCTCAGCGATGTCTCATACCTTATTAATCTTCATTCTGCCTGCGTTGACGTTATCACCAACTGATTCTCTTCTGCGACTTCGCAGTGACACCTGGTGGGAGAGGCCAGGATGTCATCGTCATTAAGACAATGGGACTGCGGAATTTTTTGCTGCAAGATCTACTAAAGGCTCCCAATTCCCCCTC